TAAAGTTAAGTTTTATTTATTGTGTGTGTGTGTGTGTGTGTGTGTGTGTGTGTGTGTGTGTGTGTGTGTGTGTGTGTGTGTGTGTGCATGCGTGCGTGCGCGCCGCGTGTGTGTTTGTGGTCCTGTGGATAGTAGGCCTACCTATCGCTTCCATTTTTAAACCATTTGATAAGTTTGTTACGAAAATATTTTATGTTACCGATCTCTCTGCCACGACCAAGGGTTTGGCACGCAAACACACACACACACACACGCACCCGACACATACCCATAGGCGCACACACACGCACGCACGCGCGCGCACACACACACACGCACACGCACACGCACGCACGCACACACGCACAAACGCACAAACGCACGCACACGTACACACACACACACACACACACACACACACACACACACACACACACACACACAAACAGCGTCTCTCACGAACTGGAGAGCGTAATAAATCTCACGGATTAGATGGTTGTCGTTGCCGTACAATCGCGCGCTCACACACGGCCGTGTCCTGGGTATAAACTATAATATAAGCATCTCAGACCGCAGTGGTGGTCTGCGTCTCTGCGACAGGCGAGCAATCGGTTCGTTGTTGTTGGCGATGCATTCCTTCGTCCGTAGCGCCGGCCGGGAGACGGTCGCTCTCCGGTTGCTGCGCCGAGGGCTCTATACTAGCCTGCAACTCAAGTGTGATAGGCGGGCTTGTGAAAGGCGGGATTGAGATAGGCGGGGGTGTTGCGAAACGCACACGCATTAGAGTGCAGTGTCGGCTAAACATGGCCGGGCGGTGGTGAATGCATGGAAGCGTTTTAGATGAATATGTTGCGAGTATGTAAAATGTATGACACGAAAGATTGTGCTGTTTATAATTATTTAGCATTGTAATGAAAAAGAAGCCATCGGTTATATATGCTAATGCAATGTTCATGGCCATGTTATAATTTGTCTTATTTAATTGAAATGCTGAATAGCAGTTAGTATCGAACTTCTACAGTAGCGATGTTGGGCACATTGTATGCTGTGGTATGTTTGGTATACATAACTTCCCGAGAGATGGTTGAGAGTTGGCGATCGAATGAGTTTTTGAGGGTGATACTTATGATGGTGAGGATGATGTTGATGATGCTGCTGATTAATCTTCATGGTGATAACAAGGATGAGGATGGTGATGATATTGATGATAACGATGTTGATGCTGATGATGAGTATGGTGCTGTTTCTGCTGCTGCTGATGATGATGAGGATGAGTTGATGGATTACTCATGGTATTAGTGTTTAGAAATTACCCTCGTTGTGGACAATGGTACAAATGTATGTCAAAGTTACCTTTTGTGAGTTGCAGATGAACTTTTGTTGGTTGGGTGTGTGACTCCTGACATATTGATTAAAGTATGTGCACATCTGATGATGGTAGCAAAGTGGTGTGAGCATCTAAAAATGGTCATTCGAGTTAAAGTTGTTAATAGACGAAAACAAGGTAAAGTTTGAATATATTTATTCACATATTGATAGAATATTTACAAGTTGAAAACTATGCAAAACGTTGTTAAAACGGTGTCATACTCTTGTTGTTATGTTACGACCTGCTCTCCTCACATCTGCATTGGTGTAATTCGGTGCTAGGCAGTCTCAGATACGGCTAGCAGGTTACTGAAAGATGATAGGCTTGAATTTCGCTTTCAATTCCTACTGTGTCCTACAACATCCATCTGAGGGAACATATTCATCCTGAAGGTATTATATGTCCATAACCCATATGAAGGCTGTAATTTATATTAAGAAATACATACTTTTAGACGTGCCCCGTTTAAGCAGCAACGCAAGGTAAGAGAGAAGATGAGAGGATAAAGCACATGATTATTATTATATATAGCGCGTGATGTGTTATTATGTGTTATTATGTGCCTACGTGGTTCCATTGTGTAGGCATACATGTATGCATAAGTAAACTATTTAAATCGCCTCGTATAACTGTCCATCATTCATTGAATGTGCAGTGCCCCTTTACCAACAATACCCCCCGCCCTATTTTGGCAAGAACCCAAATTTTAATATCCCTCTAACAAGTTGATCCTTTACGATTTCGCGAAATGAGACCCCCTTTTTTGAAGCGATATGACTCGAGGCTATCGCTAAACCTATCTCTAACCCTAACCATATTTTTTGTTACCATCATGGTCATCATTGCCCTCCGGGGCCTCCGCCGTACTAGTTTCACTCTGATTGGCATTTAAAACGGATGAAAACATTCATTCTGCGCGCACACGCACGCACGCACGCACGCACGCACGCACGCACGCACGCACTACTCGTCTACACGACCATCGTGCGAGAATGTGTGCTTTCCTTGCGCTTTGTGGAAGGTAGCTGCCGCGCGGTAATAAGGGCCTTTCAGCCGAGTGGGTGGGGTTTCCTTATTGATGTGAACGCCATCAAGGAGTCGATGCTTCACGCACGCACGCACGCACGCACGCACGCACGCACGCACGCACGCACGCACGCACCCACGCACTACAACACACACACACACACATCTAACACGCGTGCGGAATACTTCATGTGATGCGTGCATCGTCAAAGATTCTTTGTCACCTAATGCTACGTATATTAAAGATAAAAAGCACAATGCTAAAAGGTTCTGTGTTATAAAGATTCATCAGTTGCGACTTGTTACACTGATTATCCTGTCTGCCCTGGCAAACGGATAGTGTGAGCAGTGCTGCGACCATCTCGCTGTAAGTTAAGCATGAGGGGTTTATTGATCATCAACTCACGTTCGCATCTTCAACAACACGCAGTGTTTTTCTCTAGAATTTACAATTGAGATATTTCATTATTATTTCGAATATTTTGATCGCCTAAATTTAGCAGCACACTAATTGCAGGGTATAGTAATAATACCAACTAAAAAGCCGACAATCCTAAGTGGCACCAATATGGCTGGAGCCATATCACCCGTTACCGCCCGATCAATATCGCGCCCTCTCATCTAACGTGGAATCATTATTTAAGCTAACAGATTATAGTGTGCTAGGTAGATCGATATAAAGTACTTACAAGTACTCCATTGGTTGGTGGCAGTAAAGCTGATGGGTGGAGCCTATGTATTACTTCAGTTCATTTTGATGAAGCCATATTTATCTATATTCACATGTGACATCTATGAAAGACACTTGGGATTTAGATCAGACTTCTGGGGTGTTTCGCTTGAGTGATCTTTATGTACAGGTTTGCCTGCATTTATTTCTATATTTTTTTTCTTATATATCTTGATATCTTTATATTTCTCTGGAGAGTGAGAGAGAGAGAGTGCCCATCGAGACGCGCGAGAGGCGAGATGACTTGAAAGAAGACTCGAATAGAGATATTTTAGTTTTAACTGTGATCATCAAAGGCAGGTTGACCAAAATTGAATTCTTTTTAGCAAAACAAAAATATCAGTTAATTTAATCTTTTATCTGTTCCATAGGGTAGAAATGATTGAAGGTTCGGTTTTGGTAGAGGGTCTACATGAAAACAAGTATTTGATTCATAAGAGACATTCTGACCCATGCGCGTGGGCACGTGTACGTGTGCGTGTGTGCAGTGAGGCACCGGTGTCGTGCTGTTATGTGTGTGCGTGTGACTGGGTGCGTGCGCTGCGTTGCGGCGCGTGCGAGCGTGCGATGCGGCGGTGCTGCGTCGCTGTATATGGTGACGCGCGCGCGCGTTGCGCGTGCGTGTGCGCTGCTGTGTATTATTTGCTGCGTCGCTATAGTCGTGTGCGTATACGTATGTGTATGCATTTGCGTGCGTGTATTTGCGCGCGTGTTATGAGCCTTTACAGGGCATTCAATACCTTGTGCATGTAATGCCAATTATCATTGCATTACACGAGCACGGTAATTAGGAAATTAATTGCATTGCTATGTGCCTCACCTGTGCTATCTACTACCTGCTATCATTTTAGGTTTAATGCAGTACACCAAATGGGGAAAATTAACACAGGATTTCAGGATTCACAACATTTTTTCAGGATTTGCCCATAGCAATTAAATGCACGGCCTCAGCGAATGTAGGGGTTTGGGGTAATATATAGCGACGAGATGTAGGAGTGCAAGGGGCTGGTTGTGGAGACGGGCATTAACACACGCGCTTATGCGCTTCGGCTGTGCGAGTTGTTTTGTTCTGTGTGACAAGGAATTGACGCTGTGCAAGATATTAAAGCGTTTGCAAGTTTTACAAACACAAGTTTGGATTCTCTTATTCATCATTGCTACATCCAACATCAAATTCTTCCGTATACAATGCACGCATCAAGTGAAACTAAACTCGGAGCATGAAATCATTTGTTGTGTATGTTTTGTTATTGAAGTTCGTCCTTGACACCTGTTCTTTAATGTAATCTTTATAGTTCAATTCTCAGACGCTATTGACTTACATATTTACACGATATCGTTATAGATTGAAGAGAGACAGTACAGAGAACTTCACCAAAATGGGTAACCCTCCCAGTTGTGTAGGGTCAATACGTCGACATTGGAGATTCTATACGTGACCTGCGTGACGGCAACTGCCCTTATCAGCATTTCTCAGACAATACTATCGGGCGAGAGACGGGTGAGTACACACATAACTATGAATGTCCCGATGATCGATTATAATCGATAAGTCGTTGTCTTGACAGCAACAAAAGAAAATTTATTTTTTATGAAAATAAATAATCGATTATCAAAATATTTAATTTTTTTTTCTTCTCCAATTTAAACATTTGCAAATATTGTATGACGAAATGACTCTTTATTTCTTTGGTGTGTTATTTTGCCGACTTAGCTTTGCAGCTTGAGGACTTGTAAATCTAACCTCTACCACATAAGACTAAAACATAATACTGTCACATAGCTCTGCAGTACATAATACTGTCACATTTCTTAGAATATTGTATTATACAAAATACGGTATTATATGATATATGATGATATAATTCCAACCGATTCCCATCACTAGTATACACCATCTCTGGTAGCTGTTAGCAGCATATGTGAGTGGATTGCATGGTATTCGTGGCTTAGATCTAATGAAGTTATTGATTCAAATTAAGTCAGTTAATTGCCATTCATGTTTAACTTTGGAAATTACTGTGAGGACATTTATGTATTATAATTACCTAAAGAGATTGAAAAGCTCGCTTTAATATCTTTGATTGATAGTTTTAAACGTGCTGGCCGTAATCAGAATTCCCATAGGTATTGCAGTTATCAATCATATAATATGGCATACGTTACTACTAATATATTCCATCATTAAACTAGGCGAGCAAGAGTTGGGTAACAGGTGGTACCGACTGGGCAACAAACGCCACCATTTCAAAATCAATTTAAGCGTTTATTTCTACGCGTTTATTCGTTTAATGGTTCTTTCGTAAATTGTTATTAACATTATTAGTAGGGAATTTAGCAAGAAGTAAGTTAAGTAAGTAAATTGTAAGGGTATTACTATTACGGAAATCCAGGGGTGGGCCTGATTTTCAAATGCTCTTCAACGTCTCTGTGGAACCGTACATAAGTGTGACTGCATGCACTCTTGTACAGCCTACTGCTCAATCATATCACTGCTGTATGGCTTACGGCTTCATCATATCAGGGGTTAATAATGACAAATTTGTCATTATTAAGCCCAGTGATTGTATCAATAACATTTTACGGCTTGCAGCCGAAACCGACGAAGGGTAAGATGAGGATTCACTGCCTGGAGAACGTGGAGAAGGCGCTGCAGTTCCTGCGGGAGCAGCACGTTCACCTGGAGAACCTCGGAGCGCACGACATTGTTGACGGGAGCCCTCGTCTCACCCTTGGCTTAATATGGACCATTATCCTGCGATTCCAGGTGTGTAACCCCCAACCTGCCTCCTTCCATGTAGCCAGCCTCCCTCCTCCTCCCTCCTCACCTTCCTTCCAACCTGCCCACCTCCCAACCCCCAACCTGTCTCCTCCCATATAAGTGTGCCAAACGACCCCAGCTCCTGCCAGGTAGATAATAATAATAATAATAATAAAAATTTCGGTCGACTCTGCTTGCGTGAGACTAGTATTCTCATATACCCATATAGACACTGCCTATGTGAATGGATGGTTACATTCACCACATCGTTGTCTGCAGGCTGCTCTTTTCTGCCAGCGTGAGTACATGTGATTTCCCTCGGGATCTGTAGCAGTTGAACGCAGGGATGGCTAGAAGTCCAGCTTCATAGATGGTGGTCACAGGCTCACAGCTGATAACCCTTCCTGACTCTAAAACGCATCACAGTACATACTGCTTAACTCCACTGACAGACGACTAGCTGGTTAATTACATATATTTAGAAAATGCTATTCCTGTGCTCAGTAGACTGAATTTGACTAAATGGCATGCAGTCTTAGCTTGACAATCTATTCCCGCGCTGGCAAACTTTTATTGTGGTGGAATTTAATCGGGGCGGAGGTAATTTAAACGGGGCGCAACGATTGAAACAGGGGGGAGTTTTCCCAAACGGGGCGCGCGCCCCGTTTGCGCAACGTAGGGAGAACCCTGCTGTTTATGCATGCGTGTACTCAAATACTCTGTTTATACATTTGCAGACGAAAGGATCGGAGTAAGGATCCATCACCATGACAACAGGCTTGGTGGTGCGTTGGGAGCCAGGCCAAGAGACAATAGAAGATGAAGATAACAGCTCAGCAAGGCTGTTTGAACGATCGAGAATCAAGGCCTTGGCAGGTAGGTTGGCTATGCAGTCATTTACGAACATTTTTGCAGTCGTTAGCGTTGGCCTGCAATTGAAACATCTCCAGAATCGTGTTTACAGGATTGGACTGCATTTATGATTGAATGAATTCAAAATGTATTTGCCATATTATTGTGCGGCGTATTTTCTTTTCTGAAACCCGTGTGTTCACCCTGGATACGGGCAGGACTTGTACATGAATAGCACTCACTTGGAAATCGGGGAATTATATTTTGCCTGAAAATGTAAGGAAAATGACAGAATGTTGTTTTAAAATTATAAGAGTTAGGGAAAATATTGTTGATAGATAGATAGCACACGCATTAGAGCCTACGATCGCACTTATTAATCCTGCGTTACGTGCGTAGCAGTAATTTGATGACAGCCAATTAAAACGTGTTCTTATATAATACTAAACAAATAAGAAATACATACGAATCGCCAACTTGAACTCTGAGAATTCGCTGGAAAATAAGGTGGTCAAGCTGACACGCATGTTGTGCGATTAGATATAGACTGTAATTGTATTCCCCGCGACGAAGTTGGCGGGGATATACTATGGTTTCATGTCTGTACAGCCGCCGCCGCGGCAGAGATTTTCCCTTCCGCTCTATAACTTGCCCCCTAATTGACCTAGCGTGACCAATCTTGGTCTACTTACACATCTTGGGGAGAAGGTGGGCAGCGCACCAAAACCAGGTCACTGCGATCTTTATTTGACCTTTACCTTGACCTTGATCATGTTTCCCTTCCGCTCTGTAACTCGGCCCCTAATTGACCTAGCGTGACCAAACTTGGTCTACTTACACATCTTGGGGAGAAGGTGGGCAGCGTACCAAAACCAGGTCACTGCGACCTTTATTTGACCTTGACCTTGATCATATTTACCTTCCGCTCTGTAACTCGGCCCCTAATTGACCTAGCGTGACCAAACTTGGTCTACTTACACATCTTGGGGAGAAGGTGAGCAGCGTACCAAAACCAGGTCACTGCGACCTTTATTTGACCTTTACATTGACCTTCATCATATTTCCCTTCTGCTCTATAACTCGGCCCATAATTGACCTAGCACTACCAAACTTGGTATACTTACACATCTTGGGGAGAAGGTGTGCAGCGTACCAAAACCAGGTCACTGCGGCCTTTATTTGACCTTGATCATATTTCCCTTCCGCTCCATGACTCGGCGCCTAATTGACCTAGCACTACCAAACTTGGTATACTTACACATCTTGGGGAGAAGCGCATCGTACCAAAACCAGGTCACTGCGACCTTTATTTGACCTTGATCATATTTCCCTTCCGCTCCATGACTCGGCGCCTAATTGACCTAGCACTACCAAATTTGGTATACTTACACATCTTGGGGA